AGTGCTCATCAGCTCAGTCACAATGAGAGGACTACCCACCTTGGTTGCACCAATGAACTGGACCAGGTTAGGATGACGTATTCGCGACGCTATACTCATTTCCCTAGTGAAGAGAACTATATTTTTATCTGATATGACATCATCATAAAGTGACTTGACAGCTACTCTTAAACCTCTAAAAATACCAACTGTAACAACAGAAAACGATCCCCTTCCCAACTCCTTCTTTGTCAAAGTCACCTCATCTTTATCTATAACCCACTGCTCATCAGGAAACGCTTGAGCTGCATCAAAAAATAATAATTACTTATTTCTTGTCATCATTTACCTTGGATTATGCCTCCTTCAGACTCTGATACTTGTTTTTCTTGTATACCCTTTGTTATTTTAATAATAAATTTCAGTTTCAAGTTCAAAATCATATACCTTCTTCTGAATTCTAGTCAGCTCCTCTTGACTATTTAACAACAGTATGTTCTGTGACACCAACAATTGCTGCAATGTGCCATCATTACTGTAAACTGATGATAGAGATAATATATAAACATTCCATAACATATCATTGTGTATACCTGAGGATATGTATTTCTCTAAAGAGCTCCCATCGCTATCATTGGCTGCCTATCATAACATAACAATGAAAGTGAAACAGTTTATTTTGAAAGTATGACAGCCATACCTCATATACAACACCATATCCAATGGTCAGTCTCTTTACTCCTCTCTCAATGAGTGAGTCAATATTATTAAGTGCAGTAGCAATAAGAGACTCAGAGAGAAAGGCAGGAAAAGAGAAAGTGATGGTAAAAGAGTTACCCTCTCTGACAACGACCAAAGTTACCCTTTTAGACAATCGGTCTGCGGCAAGTGAAACTAATTCCATAATGTCATTTAGGGTGCAGTCGTCAACATTCCGTCCGACGTAAATGGTAGCTGTTTCACATCGAAGAGACGGTAACGAGGAGAACTTTTCGTTCAGAGAAAGACGAAGAGAAACAGACTGAAGAAATGTCTCAATGCTTGCCTTGTACTCGCTAATTACTGTCACAGCTTCCTCCATAACTTCTAATTCATTCATGATGGACTCTAGCAGGCTAACATTAATGAGAGAGCATTTCTCGTGGATCAGCTCTAAAATGCAAGACACGTTGTGGCACTGTGTTAATCTGGCTTTAAAGTCAGAATACAAAAATATAAGCAATTCCCTCAAGTCTTCGACTGCGGATGGGCACGTTTTTAAAATTTTTAAAACTTTACGAAAAGTTTGGCCAAACTTGATTCGCATGTCAATGAACTCTGCATTAAAGGATTGAGGCATGTATATCGCAAGTTCGCTGTCTGCATAGAAAAAGACACAAGAATAAATTTAAAAGTTAACATTAGCTTAGCTTACCTCCTTCAGTCAATACTAGCATATTATCACCTTCATATATATTTTCTATAATCAAGGGTATCAGCAAGCAGAGCAACAAAAACTATATTACTTACTGTACTCGTTATCAATTGTGTATCCTACTGATACGGTTGAAACAAATTTCTGTAAAATAGCAGCAAACTTTAGAATATTACTATGATCAGCACAGACAGACTCTCTGACTGCATTCATTAATGCTTGCGCTGTAGCTGGTAGCATCATTTCCTTGATGATACCTTCTTTGTGCAAGAATAAAGCAATTTTAGGCAGCAATTCCTGAACTGACTGGTCTGACTTGTAGCGAGCAAGAATATCACAAGATGGATGTTCTGTTGAATAAATTTAACAAAATACATGCACAGGGGCTCATTTCAAGTTTTTAGCTAATACAGAAACAGTCATTTACTAAGAAAAACTGAGTTGTTCCCAAATATGAAATTCTACTAGATCTATGTACATACCAAACTGTAGAGTCAGCAACCTACTATCGCACACCATTGATATTCGAACACTTTTTCTCACAGTTCAGTGATCAGAAGCCAGTGGCTATAATTTTATCTTGTAGATCAGATGTTCCTCTACAGCTGTAACAACTTTCATAGAGATCAGTCCTTGCTGTGTTTTTATAATAATTTTTTAGTAGAAGTTTCGAACACATGCAA